CTATGATGACCTAAAACCTTTAGTACAACATTATAAATTGGATACAGAACTGCTAACATCAGAATTTAAAATAATACCAAACACAAGAAAAGAAAATCATGTTATGAACAATATAAATATACTAATAAATTTAATCAGTGACTAATTGGGAGGAGGAGGGTAAATGTGGACCATTTTAGAAAAATGTAGCTGATCATTATGCCACCCTATTACCTTGATCATGTGATTCTAGATAAATGCCAGACACACACACATACACATAAAAAATAAATATTTTATATCGTCGATTTAACCGAACGGGCCAGAAATTTCGGTGCTGTACATGATTTCTATAACATATACGTCCTATCTATTATATATGAGTATATGACATCGTATAATTATTACCAACGCCATCGCCATGGCTAAATAATTAGATATAAGAGAGCAGGTGCACATTATACATATAGGGTGATTCGCCTATCATGCTCAAACCTATTTTTCTTCAATAATATATAGCTCTTCAAAATCTTGAGATTTTCGTGTACCCACTACTGGTAAGGATGCGTGACCAGTGAAGATAAAAACTTGTATTTTAAATGAGAACCCTCCCTCCACTTTTCTGCTGTGAATTTTTTAGATTATTTTATATATCAAAATAAAAATTTAAACGACTAGGTACTTATTGAATTAACATAATATAATACTAAGAATAAATTGCAAGTCCACAATAATGGGTTTGAAAAATATGGAAGCTATAGTAATTTAATAATTTATTGTTCCTTGATCAATGTAGTTTATAATTTGTTAAAAATAAGCCTTTAACTATTTTATATTTTTGTTTAACCTGTATTTTTAAGAACTATTATTATATTAGAATGTATATTATATAACATTAAAATAGCTAAGAGAATAATGGTTCGAGTTTTGAATTAAGTTAGCCGTTAGGTATATCAAAGTTTTCAAWAACACTATATCCACTAGGTACTAATTTACTTAGATAGGTACAGTGAAAAAGGGATGTTGTCTTTTAAAAACAGAAGTTTATTCACCTGCGTAGTATTGTTCTCAAATAGGTAGTGTAAAAAAAAAAAATTCAATAATTTGAATTAATGGGGGTGAGCATACTTGGTGAATCACCCTGTATATTGTAGCGCTGTCAGTTATTATAACGACCCTCAGACAGCAGTTCGTATACAATTAATATTATATTTTATACGCATACATATAAAGGTAGGCACACACGCCGAGAATTGTATGGCTTTTTTTGTTTTTGTTTCGTTTTTATCACAGTGCACCGATCGGTTGTACGCCGCGTTGTTCGTGGCGCGGCGCGGCGCCCGTTGATTTCTTCTCCAACAATGGAAGACCATGTATACCAAACGCTGCGCGCTGTCACATTAAACAACGACGCGGGCGTGAAATCAGTCCATAAAATAATAGTCGCTCCGCCGTCCCRCAGTAATAATTTTCGGGTCACGACGATATTATAATATTATTATACAGACGCTTACATTGTATATACTTGTATTTATAAAAGAATATGTTTATATATTGTATATTGTAATAAAACAGTGAGGAGCGAAAATGTTCATATACTGGAGGTAGGGAGGGGGAAAAGATCAAATTTGGTATCTTTAAACAATTTTTTTGTTATTTTATATCTATATTGGTATAATATTCTGCAGTGTACTAAGCTGGAGTAACTTCACAATACGAAAGTATAGTACCTACGTAGGACCAATTATTAKAATAATGGCGAATGCTGAGTGAGTACCCCAGCGGTAATCACCGGCAATGTAAATTTACCGCTGATCTCGGATTCAATACAACGCGATCTACGGCCTAATAATAAACGTTCAGCTGAATTCGAAAAAATTTAATTTTTCATCAAATGTTAAATTTTTGATCTAATTTTTGTCGGTATCTAGTTAAAGATTATTAAACAAGCGTGACAGTAACTAATAGACTTTGTCTATTTTATGTTTTAATTTAATTTTTATCTATATTTAATACTTAATACTGGAGTAAATAAATGAAACGTCGTCATTTATTTGACGAAATCTACTGAACATGAATTATATAGTAATAATAACTCGAGTTCACATTATAGAAAACTTACCTATGTCTAATGCAATCCAGTCTATAGGCTTCTTATTCACTATTCTGGGTATGTTGTCCGATGAACGGCGCTTTTTCTTAAAAAGCTTGTGAATGAAATCGGCGATTGACAACAAATGTTTTTGCGATCTCCCCGTCGCAATTACTATGTAATCGACGTACCTCACATTGGCCGGGATRGACGCGACGAACACATTCGAGGCATTGTTCTTTTGGAGCACTTCGACTAGCTGCTCCACTTCAAACACTCCGGACACGCCACCTGTATAAATGCGTTCAATACACGTTTATATAATGAAGTAAATACAATATTTTTATAGTAGAACTATCCAAAATGTAACCTTAAGTTTTAAAGGTTTATATTTGTATAGTAGAACTATCCAAAATGTAACCTTAAGTTTTAAAGGTTTAACWGCAATATTTCATTTTTAATTTATTTTTACGATTTTTCTTCATTGGCATGAGACGTCACAAATTTGTTCCACAAAAGTAGATGCCATATAAAATGCATGCTACCCGCATATTATTCACGGTAAATGATGGATAACGACAAATATTCCTAGGGGAAAAGTTCACAACCTAAATACATTTTAGAATTCTGCCTTTTACTAAATTTAATTCGGGGTTTATTATGACCTTTTTATTTTGCTATTGTTTTTTCGTCATCTAATAAACACGAAATGTCAAACAAAATCAATATGATATTTTTAAACGACATTTATTTGATATGCTTATACTGTGCTGTAGGTTTTATAATGTATACGTATAGGTATAATACAGTGCATCATAGAATATGCCTTGAAATATTGGATCGTAAGTAAACAGATACGAGTGGATACTTATGTAATAAATAGTGCATAATATAGATAATATAGTATACATGTATATAAGCAATGTAAATCATTTTTTCAATGYGGGTTCCGACATTTTTTTGATTTTTTAATTTTATAGTATAAGTTATTCACTGTAGGGAACTAGGTTGTATTCAATTATTTCGGTACTTAAAGAGAAGCATTTCCACGTTTATTTAGAAAATAAATGCCTAAATATATTATTATATTAATTATATAATATATTTATTTTATTCTTTATTCTTATTAATAAAAATAAACTGAACAAATAACTACCTAATATATTACTATAAATATATTTATACATATTATTTACTTTAAATTATTTGGTCTTGTCATGATAGTAGTCAAGGGCGTATTTAAGGGKGCCCATTGGGTCCGTGCCCTYCCCGTTCACCGTTTCTTATACTATCTTTATTATTGTATTGAGTATTAATAATCTCCATAGGTCCTCTTAATTTTTGCGCATGGTGGCATATCAATATATTATCAATTATCATTATCATGATATGATACTATTGATATTTGATACCAATACCACTGAATTAAAATATTTTTGTATAATTCTTGTATTTTGATTATTTGGTCATGATGATAACTTTTTGTGAGGGAAAAATGGAAAATATGAGATAAGTTATAACAGTGTATAATTTGAACTTTTTTTTGTCCTCCTCCCCACCACAAGACATTTCTAAATGCATCCCTGATAGTAGTATTATAATTTATATTTTTGCAAATAAAATAAAAATCAGGAACTCGCTGTTGTATTGTATGTTTTGAGTATACATCGCCATGACGTCATTATTGTAAGGGAAATATTATAAAATGATTTTGAACTAAGGAGGTCGGCGGTTGAAACGTATTATAATATAAATAATTATTGATATAAGTTCATAATATAGGTACTTATATATTCAAAAATATTATTAATGACTGACATCAAACAATAATTACAAGTAATATAATACACAATATAATGGGTACCTAGGTAGTAMATAACATAATAAACACGCGTATAACACTTAACTATAGTCCATATGTATATAATAAAGTATACAAAAATATTAAATATATCGCAGATACTTATTTAATTTATTCCCTTCTTAGTATCATAATTGACTTTCCTGATCATCTCGTCATCATCAATTGCATTTCGTATCCCTGCTTACCTCACAATAAGGGRCTTTCTTATATTTCATCGCACCTCATAAACAGATACACAGAATGCTAAATCAGCTTAAAAATGCATTACCTATAGTAGATTTACAAAAACACACGAAAAATCATAAATTCGTCGCTTGTTCGAAAAACAGTCTGTAGTACGAGAAAAGTTATACGTTTACACAGAGTAGCAACACATCATAAAAATATATTATATTAAATATGACGCGCATCTTGTTGTATTTACTACTTTTAATCTATTTTTCCAATTGATTGCTAAGAGAGTTTAAAATTAATTTTATGCAAATATGAATTTATACTTTTTAAGAGCATTTTTTGCAATCTTATAGATTCTGCAGAGCGAAACCATGAATGTATCAATATATTGTTTTTACAATGATGTGTTTTTTGTCTGAACTCAATAAGAAGTCGAAATAATGCTTTGGTTAGGTTAAAGTCAAATTTAATGTTTATAGGTTTATGACAATGGATATTCACTMGATTTCTTTTTTTCAGTTTGTTGTAATTCAAAAAAGAATAATCGTAGATACTTATTTACATCAAATGTTTATTTTATAATTTTCTATACTTGTTTTTATATTTATACCATAGGCGTGCACAAGGGGGGTGCAGCGGTGCAGGGTATGCAACTGCACCCCCATCGAGTTCAGCTTAGAAATAGATAGATAGATAAATAATACTTTTTAAAATATAATTTTTTTCAAACTCGCGGTCACACGATGAGTGCTACCAGTGCATACATTAAATAAATATCAGTGCAGTGCACCATATTTTGTTTTTCCTCTCTTTCTTTGGCCCTTATATAATATGGMAAATTTGTATTCAGCAGATACAATTTTATGCTGTTAAAATGTTAACTTTAATATTAAATTATTTCAACATCGATTAAACTTAAAAGAACATAATCTAAGATACCTTATGGGTTTTTAATAATATTTTAAGTTTAAAGCAAGTTAATGTCATTTTAAAATGTAATATTTTATTTAAATTATAACTCATTTTTAAATTAAAATATCAATAAAAGCCTATACCTAAGGTATCCTGGATAACATTTTTATTTTAAAGTTTAATAATATGTCAATTGATTTATTCTAACATTGAAGATAAAAATACACTATTAAATCTGCAGTACGTAAATTTGATGTGTTTCRTATGGAACAGAGCGAGAAAACAAATAATTTGCTGAAATTTAATTATTTGATTAAAGTAGATAAAGGCTGAAGAAGTTTGTATATCTTATGAAAATAAATTGTTATTATTTGTTAGTCATTATTAATTACTAATTATACAAATTACACTGCACTTAAATATTATAGTATAAATTATTATATTACACTAGGTATTAGCCATTAGGTAGTTATGTTGAAAAAATACATTGTACTTCAAACATTGTACCATTTGAGTAAATAATATAACTATATAAACAACAGTTTATGTACAGATCGTTATCAAAATAAAATTTATTATAAGTTGATAACCATTCTCTGTATAAATAATAGTAATAGTATGTTTACTGTATGATTTTTTAACGGTTTTATGTCAGTATATATATATATGTAATATTAAAAGGATACTAGATTGTTGTTACCYCACAACATATTAAAATTTGTATGATATTATAATCAAATACCTTCCAAAAACTTTTGTAATACCTAATACCTATTCAATATTATAACTAAATTCTGCAAAATTGAAGTAAGAGACCCAGTGGTTGAATTGTGGGAGGACACAGGGGGACTGAGCTACTCTTCATTTTCCTTCAAATTATAGCGTACCCCTTTATTATATTCATCAAGAAATAGGGTTACTATTAAATTAATTTGTTTAATTGTTCAACTTCATTTAGAGTCCACCTTTATGTTTTTTTCCAATTCGACCACTGTAGAGACCTTTTTAACCATTAGGTAATATTATACTCAAAGTTTGTTTAAATTCATACAAGTTACAATAATTATATATATAAAAATAGAAAACTGTTTTAGCATATAATATTATAATTTMAAATCATGGTTTACTATAATGTAAGTAGTTATGATAATAAAATATGGTAAATTCAAAGTAATTGAAATWAATAATAACTATGTCAAGTTACAACATATTTTTAATGTTGCCATACATTTATTTAAAATTAGAATCTATGTTGTCTCCAAATAAACACTGCTAAGATAAGAATCCAAACAATAATGTATGGTTCCATATGCTTTTTTATTTTTCTGTAATTTTTTARTAAATTCTGCAGACCCACATTTATTTTAATTAATAGTAAATACAAAATAATAATAAAGGAATTTAAACCAGCGGAAGTCATGAAATCAAGGTAGTATTCAAGATAATAGACTAAATTAAGCCTTACAGTAGTCAGAATAACGGATGAGGACCGTAATTTGGTATTTGTTTAGTATGTGACCTTCTACAATGGCCAATGGGTATTAGTGTATTACGCTTAGTATTTTTAGTCTCCRTTTTAGTCAAATTAAAAATCATAAAATTATGTTATTTAGTTATTATTAATTAATTAGTAACACAAATGTAAAATAATATAGAATTACATTTGATAATGTCAAAATCAGTCCAACGAAATATCAGTAAAAAAAGTAYATTATGAATATTATTGAACATACACACACCTACTAAACCAAAAATATTAGTATTTTAAAATAGGTACACATAATAATCAATTTAAAATTTTTTTGAATAGTACCTATCAATAAGTTTTATTGTGGCCAATTTTAATATCTGTTTTCATAATCAGTAAATAGTATAGTGTTATAAATCAAAATCTATTGCATATTGTATTATCTACAATTAGGTAATATTATTATGTTTGAAATTGTTGCCAATTAATATTACTAATAAATGATAATATTATATGATCACAACAATTTWAGTTGTAATACTAGTAATRCTATAGTATAATTTTGTTTTTATAAGTTAAAAAAATGTATTAAAAAAGGTTGCGACAGCTGAAAATTGCGCCTCCAAGAGTGAAGCTGCTAGGGACAAAACCTGTTACGGTGTCGGGAGGATAAATTACTYGGAAGTTTCATTGAAATTTTAACTCACGTGATACATCAAAACCAGCGAATGGATCAATTTCTTCAAAACCTGAACGGCCATCATCAGCGGACAACTGCGCGTCAAGCAGTGCTCGTTCCTCTTCCACGTCCAAAATCACTGACGAGTCGTCATCCTTGAATACCTTGTAGTTGCCGGGTTTAACGAACCCATCATCGTCATCGTCGCCTTTGCCTCCATCGCGACCACCTCCAATGGTGTTGCCGCGGTCACCATAACTTCGTCGAATTAAATTGGTCCCGCACGTCGGCAGACGCAATTGCAACAGAGAACAGCGGCCAGCAGCCACCATGCACTTGGACAAGTCGCGTCCAATTCTCAACGACAACATCGTTGAGAACTTTTTCACACCATTTGCATGAGATCCGCACCAGCGTATCCTCGGAAAAAATTGMTCAGACAGAAAACAGTCCGGGATTCGGAAATAATTGTYCCGTTTTGTATTTTGCGACGTTATCAAGACGGTTCGACTCGCATAATCGCATGTGCTCGAACCGGTGATAACACTATCTTTGAGTAAAATTTGTTATACCTAAATCGTGTTTCCGTGGTATACTATGTTTATCACGAATTAGTATCAAAACGTTTATTATCTCTGCCGGAATATYGATGTTTTTATTTATTATAATATTGTAWAACGTTATGATTTAATTGTTTTTTCATTTTTACAACTGTTATTATTGATTATGGATTGCGTGTACTTCGTTGTAATAACCATAATAACATAATATTAATTGTCGTGTCCACGGACAGACGTATAAACGATTGGATGAGAGGATAACGACACACGTCACACACTAATTCATACGGTCGTTATTTCGAAAACATCATTTTTCATTTTTCGTAAAATGATCTTCTGTTTAAATTTTAGTACACGTTCATTACCGTGATATCGGTTTTTGGTTGAATACGTATGCTTTTTTTATGCAGTCAGAATAAGATAAAAAAAAGTAGTGACAATTAACAATGTAGTTGAACAGTTTCACTCGTTGTGTGTCATTTACCAAAAGTTTATGTGACGCAGAACGAATATCCTCAAGTGTCCTCACCAGTTACCATTAATTTAACATAACTTGACACGTAATATTGTTACATTTTTGAGATGAAGCTCGACACTTTATCATTAAAGTATATCCAAATATTTTTTGTTGTCGTTATTTATTGGTAAGCAATACGTCATTCATAATATTATTGATTTTAAATGTTGTCTTAAACATAATATTAACCAATATTGTGTCTAAATATTTGATTGATATTTTACAGGGTAATTTCTATTCTGACAGTATTTGTAAATAAGACTTTATTGAGTATTGACAAACTAGATGTTGATGCTCCTATATTCATTGCGTGGTTCCAGTGTTTGGTTTCAGCAATGATTTGTTTTACTTTAAGTCGTTTGTCTAAGATATTTCCAACTGTTGTACAGTTTCCTGAGGGAAATCCGTTTAATAAAACCACTATTAAAAAAGTAAGTTACTTAATRCTGACAAAGTATTAAAGTAAAATTAAATAACTTGTGCTTTTTTATATCAATTGGATCAGTTATTTTATTAGCACACAGTACCTAAACCTCATACTAGTTGTGCATTATACTTAAATCCAGAACAAAATATATAATAATTAGAGATTTTCATTTATGCTAGGTTGTAACTAAAATATAATGGCTTTCTCTCGCTTACATTTTACTTACTATACACTATAAAACATGTTTCTATTTCTTTTAGATTCAAAAGTACTTCAAATTTTTTGTAACTGCTGGTAACTTAATTTAATTATTACAATTTAATACTCAACTTGGAACTTGTTAAAAGTTAACTTTATTTGCACCTTTTACAAATGTACTAATTACCAAATATGGTGGATTTTAAAATACTTATAACCTATTTTTAATAGGTTCTATAATCTTTCCATGACTTAAAATAAAGGTATTTCTCTAAATATAACCTTGTATGCCTTTAAATATAACCTAATAAATATTATAATATGTTTAAAATTTAAATTTTTAGGTATTACCATTATCAATATTATATATTTTAATGATATCTACAAATAACTATTGTTTGAAATTTGTGGATGTTACATTTTATTATGTSGGACGATCACTCACAACAGTATTCAACGTCATACTTTCCTACATAATATTAGGTAACTTATTAATTTTTTATTTTTGTAGTAGGTGGAATTTTATTTTTACGAGTATAGTGTATACTATATTAAGTATTTTGTGTATTATATGGTGTTACTAAATTCATGTCTTTTACAACAATACATTTTCAAATATTATGAAGTATAATTTCATACATTTATGAGGACCTAAAAAAAAAGACAGCCAGCACAACTTAGATATCTAGTACTAGMTCGTATATTTAAAGCCTATAATTTATKACTATAGAGAAATGGAAATACCATTTTATATAATTTATAAAATTTGAGTAAATTTGTTTTAAATTCACATTTGAAAAAAAGTATTTTTGAATTCGGTAAAATTTAACTTAACAATTTTCTTAATTCAGATAATAATTATTCT